TTTTTTTCAGGCGAAACTCAGGATAAGGCAGATTATTTTCCAGGAATGAAAATTTTTAAAAAATTCTGTTTTCAAAGTCGTGGCTGCCAGCCGAATCGGATCAGAATATTGTAATTTTTGTTAAATATATTTCTTCTTTATATTCTTATCTTATTAAAGATCAGACCTATAGTTTTTTAATTATTTAATTATCGATTCTCTTTATAGCCAGACGTTGATCATTTCTGCTGCAAATCCCTATTGAAGGAGCTTACTCTTTGACTTTAAATAGCAAAGAAGGGACAGTTTTACCACAGAAGTTTTTAGCCAAGAATCCAATGTATATCCCTAAAAAAAATATTGCCCGACAAGTAAACAAAATTACTGTTTTTAAAATTGTTGCTAAAAATAAATTCCCCAAAGAGCCCCATTTGAAATTATTGAAACGAATATATGTACGTAACATCAAAAGCAAATCACGAAAATTTAGTTAAGAATTACAGAGCACACTTTCTTCTTTTGTATCTAGTAGTTTTGTTTAAGATTAGCCCAAAAAATCATAATAAAGTAAGAAACCAATGCAGGAATTTAAGGCACAGAAAAACAAAATTGTTATAAAGACTATGTTCTCTTTGACGTACGTCAAAGGTCAAGTAGCTCGGTGATAGCTAACGATATAGCTTAAGAAATAATGTTTAAAGACATTTTTATCAAAGTTGATAAATATGACATTTGACCAGTTTTGTTACACAAATACTCCCACGACCAAAGGCGAAAATATTGGCTACAATTTGTCATTTTGTTTGCCATATATACGTTTTATCGGTGCACTTGCACAACATTCGCATTCGCATTCCCTCCGCATTCGCTCCGCATTGATTATTGCGAATGCGAAAACGAATGCGAATGTTAAAATTACTGCGGAAGCTCCGCGGTTGCGAATGCGAATGCGAATATTCGCAACAACCCTGATCTGTAGTACACAATATCTATGACTGCTTAGTACAATTGTAACGGCTTCATATATTTTCGCGACCCCGTAAGACAATACGAGCATGGATCGGAAACTCGGCCTTTCCGACCAAGCCCAACAGTTCGTCCACAGCGCGGAGCGGAAACTAGGCCTTTCCGCCTGCCTCACATACAAAGTAATGGCTGCGGGAACATGGATT